AAAAATTAAAATTTAAAGATGAATTCAAATACCTTCTGCTCATGTGATTCAAAAAGTTCACTTTAAATTGGATAAACAAATAAAAATGTGTCTAAGTCAGTGACAGTGTCTGGGAGACCAGTGTTGGAGACTGGGTTCCTAGATGACTTCATGGCTGTGGCATGCGTGGTGACTGGGAAAGTTCCTCTGTAAAGGTGTAGAATGCCCAGTTGCTATGGCAATGCTCTCCATGGGGAGACTCTGTTGCCAGAGTCTTATCATCTTTGAACTTATTCTCAGGCACACAGCTCCTGGGAATGGAGGAACTTCCTTGCTAAGATAACCACAATGGTTCACCAGTTGCTCCTGAATCTGCCATGAATTAGTAACTTTAGACAATGGACTTTCTTGAGAGCTCCACAGTGCTCCTAACATGCACATTGCAACTGTAGAATGTAACTGAGAAAATGGCTGAATAGTGGTGCTAAATGTCTAACTTTCATGAATGCTAAGAATAAATTTTGCATAGTTTCTAATCTAATTAATGAGACAAACATAATAAAGATTGATGGTATACTTTTTGGGTCTGCTTCTCCAGCAGAAAGCAGTGCTTTAACAGATCCCAGCTGTTTTACCTTCAAGATCTGCATGTGTGACTATTTCTTCCAATCTCCCATTGCCCCTCACCAGAACCTGACAGTTTGGCTGTGCTGATCGTGGCATCTAAGGTTACTAATTCACAAGCTTCTCTAGGTGTTCAACTGTTAATAAAATGTCTATAACATCTATAAAATGTCTAATATCCATTGTTTCTAAAATTTTTCTTCAACAGAAAAGAAAAATAAATGTTAGATTTAACATATGTGAGACTCACCAGAAATGTGTTTGTTAGAGACATCTGATTAATCTACAAAGTTAAAATACTGTTAAATATAACATCATGTACCCTTAATAATTACTTAAGGTAATATACTTAAGTATTATTGGTGTTTTCATAAATTGGAAAAAATTTTTAAAAAACTTTAAAATTACTTTATCACTAAAAACAAGGTTATTAAAAGTTAAAAGTCCCAACAGCTACAATTCTATATCTAAAGAATCTAAAGGTTTCAACTACATTTCAATTAAAGTACCATAAATAACATAAATTATTTTATTTTATTAAAATGGAGTAATTTATCTAAATTCAAAAATTTGTAAGGGTTAATTCTGAATATAAACAAAAAGAGGGGTCAGCAGATTAAAAACATAAAAGGAGATATATATATATATATATATATAATATTTCTACAGAAAATGTATTAAGATGAGAAAATTATAATACATCTAAGTGAACAACAAGAAGGTCTAGGTAAGTAATAAATGGTGTATATGAATAAAGAGTATACTTTAAAAGGTTGGTGAGTATTTCATTTGGTTATATATATGTAACACAAATACTTTAAGCTATTCAAGTTTTTCCCCCTAAGGTCAAATATTTATGTACTTGTACAAACCAGAATTTAATCTGTTAAAATGACAAGGATTCCTTAAAACATTAATTAACCCCTAACATTGTGTTAAATTTTATTTCCTAGAACAAACGGTCTTAAGAAATCAAGGTTTTTATAACTCTGATTAAATGGCAATGATTAATTTTAAGTATTGTTCTACATTACAGGGTCTAGGTTTTTCTTTAAAAGTTAAACAATTACATTGCAGTTTTTACTCTTCTTTATATAATGTGTTCATATCTTCCAGGAATACAAATCTTTAAAGTAAAAGGTTTAAGAAAACATTTGATCGAGCCTGGTGTTCTTGAACCTTGTAAGTTCTTTGCAATGGTAATTTTAGACTTATACAGATGAAAAATTTCATTGGGGATTTATTTAAAGGTATTTCTAAATATAATGAGAGCCTCATCTATTATTGTAAAATATTTTACCACTTCTACACACACACACACACACACACACACACACACACAAATTATCAGCTTCAAAACTGAAACACTTTACCCAAGATTTGTGAAGAGCAACATCTTACCTGAACTAAGGCTATACCTCCCACCTTACTACCTGTTAAAATTCCTCCAAAGTAGGCCAGACTTAAGCTCATTTAATTTTATGAACAAAGATTGATTTTTATTGTAAAGATTACTGTTATCTCAAACAGGGGATATAATATATAACTCAGCCAAAGCTCAAAATTATGTACAAACTAAATATGTTTTTATTGTTGTTAGAGTTTTTCCTTGTAAACTTTACTGCTATTATTGCCTTAGAACAACCTAAGTTGATTTAAGGCATTAAGCCATCATCTTCAGATAGTAAATAAAGGAGTCAGTGTGCAAGCTGCAGAAAGACGAAGGTCTTTAGAAAGAGGAGACACCCTGATGCTTCCAAGGGAAGCCACATGGTCAGTGGGAACTTAATCCATCCTCATGTAGATGGCGCTAGCAAAGCTAAGAGTCTGCTCACAAGTTCCCCCAGTGTGACTCCCAAGGGGAACTCAGCTGACTTCTAACAATTGGTAGAACCAAGGTCCATTTGACCATGTTGATCTTAAACACCTAGCAAAAACAGTTAAAACCAAGAAACTACAAATCCTGGACATTTACTCTAACTTAAGATACACATTTATGTTAGAGCCTGCCCCCTCCAAATAAATAAGATAAAAAAAAAACTGGCCACATTAAAAGTTCTTAGTCAGTTTAAGGCTTTCAGATCTATAATCTCCTACACAGGTATTTTCTATCCCTAAGAAACAAAGATAAAGGGACCTCAACTAAGTTCAAAGGACATGCCAATAAAAAGATATTTTATAAAAATCAGATGGCATTAAGTAACGTAACTAATTGTTGTGTTTACATTCCTGATAAGTCTGACAATATTAGAGGTTTACATTCCCAAACAAAGGCCTTATTAGGCTTTATGAGGCCTTGTTATGGGGATACCTTCTCAGTTCTTGCTCTTGCTGAAGAAAAATATTAATTTCTACATGTTATAAATGATGCAACATTTATTTTCTATTAATCTCATTTCAGGACTCCTGTCTTTTAGTTTCCCTAATAAAACCATCAACCCCCATGTGACTTTACAACCTGTTCTTCATGAGCCAGACTTTCATCATGGACCCCTTTGACCAACCCAATTTCTAAAAAGGGACTCCAAATGGCTTGCCCCGCTGCACATCACCCCCCTCTCAGCTTGAAACAGCAAGAGCTGTTGTTGCCCTTTTTATAAAAGTAAGAAATCCCTAAAATTAGAAGAGAAAAATACAATCAATGTAAATAGGGAATAGGGACAAGTCACAAAATGGAGGCTAATTTGAGTCCAATAATTGTTATAAGTTCTGAGCTGCTAAAACAACCTTCGAAAATCTTAAGCAGACACATAGACTTACACAATTAAAATCGTCAGCCAACAAATATAAAAGTTCTCTCAATTCCTTGGCAGAAATAATGTTACAAGATAGAAGAGAACAAAACCTTCTGTTTCTGAAACAAGGTGGTCTCTGTAGGACCTTAGGAGAAATGTGTTGTTTCCTTACTAACCACTCCTGGGAAATAAGAGAAAACTTGTCACTGGTTCAAAAAAGATTAAACAAACAAACAAAAAGACTAAAATAATTAGTATCAAAATTTGTTTTCTTGGTCTCCATGGTTCACCACTCTCTTATTGGCCATAGCGAGATCTTTGCTGTTAATACTCCTAAGATTCTTAATCAGACCATGTATTCTAAACTGTCAGATTTAGTATATAAAACAAGAGATACTATCTATAAAGTTACTGGTTTTAAGGGCTAATTATGTCCCAACATATACAGAGGAACCAATGATTTGATTATGTCCCCCAAAACCAGTGGGGAATGCTATTGTCTGAATTTAAGTAATATAGTTTAGAGATTATAAATTATAGCTTATAAAATATAATAAGTAGGATAATAGGATTATAAGAGAAGTGTTATAAAAGAAATAATGTTAAGAATTTTCTAAGATGCTAAAAATTATTTTTCTGTACTTTATATGCTGACAAATGTGCTCAAACCCAGGATGTGGTTGTCTGTTTTTGCTCTACTAAATGCTTCCTCAGCCCTTGTGTCCTGCTCCATTGCCTGCACCTACCTTTCAAGGGTGTGGTTATTTCCCCTTGAAACCCCACACAACTTGGACCCGGTGACTTTCCTGGCAGAGACAATTCAGGTCCTTCCTGCAGGGAAACAGTCACCAGCTGACTAAATAAAACTCTCGAATTTGGACAAAATTCCGGCTGAGAGTGTTTTCTGAGCAATCAACCCACAACAGTTGAGCATGACTTGCCGGACTTGTCCATTAGAGTAGTGTTAACATATATATGTACAAATTCACTTATAACAAAACATGTTATTACCCAAGTGTTTTCGGTTGTCAGTGTGGCCAGTGTCTTAAGGAAGTTCATATAATAATTAGCTTTTGAAAAGAAGAAAAGTGCACAATGAAAATAACACAGCAGCAACCAACAAAGGAAATTCGATATAACCTATGTCATAAAGAGGACATTAGTATATCACTGCTTCCCCTTATGTTCAACAATGTGTAAAATATACAAGTCTAATTTCACTGGATACAAATGAATATTGTTTGACAGAGTTTGCTTTGGTATTTTCCTCAAGAGATATAGCTGAAATAAATATAAAAGTAATAAATAAAAAAGAGTCCACATGTTTTAATAACTTAATCAACCAGAATATCAGGAAAATAATCAAAAAGTATATTATGTGAAAGTATTTACCATTGCTTCGATTAGTACTATTTTAAATCAGAAACTTCCATTTGCTACCTATAATTTTCCAGAACTGTTGCTTGATGGCTAAGAAACACAACCCAACTACATGCATGCACACATGCTCGTGTATATAAATACACACATATACACATGCAACACACATATATACAAGTGTCTATATATAAACCACCACTCCCAAGTGATAGCACTGTATATTACTGTTTTTATAACTTCATGGGTAAGAACAAAAAAACTAATTGTGCAAAATCTTACAAGTTACATGTTTCCCATGATATCATGGGTTCCACTCTTCTGTATCCAGGTAAAGCAGAGCCCAGATACACTGTAGCCTAGGCTCATGAGCAGAAAGGGGCTGGCAGCTGGGAAACACCCAGCAATAATAAAAGCTGCATTTACTACAAACCAGTTAGGAGTGTACATAGCACCCATACAAACCTGAAAGATGCAAGAAAGTGTGTAAAAGGAGACAAAGGTGCTCACCAGGAGGAGGATGGTTTTGGTGGCTCTGGACTCAGGGGAGCACCTTAAAGAGCTGGTCTTATGGACATGCTGCATTCTCTGCTTGTGCCTGTGCAGGACGAGTACCATGGAGCTGCTGGCCCAAAGCATGAGCCCCACGCACATAGCATCAGGAAAGGTTAGCAATACTGCTAACAGTGAATCAGTCGTTGGGTCATGACGCATGCTAGAACAGTACCCATAGTCTTTTACATGGGTGATGGTTTTGTTCCCTTTTTTTGCAGTCATGTACATAAAATTTATAACATTTAGAAGGAGGGATAGGACCCAGCTCAGGTATATGCAGGAAATGATGTACCTGGGAGCTTTCATTTTAAGCTCAACCCACCTAGAGTTCCCAGAACTAATCTTAATGACCTGAAAGATGCTCAGGAAGCAAGTGCTCCACATGGACACATTCCTGCCCACCTTGTGAAGAGCAAACAGCAGCTTACAATCAATATCACTGGTGAAATCTTTCATTCCAAAAGCTGCCATTGTCTGGGGAACTCCTCTACACAGGAGAGCTAATGAGTTGGCCACAATCAAGTGCTGAAGAATCAAGTCTGTGTGTCTTACCCTGCACCCAGGGAAGTAAAGGACCAGGTAATGGAGGAAAAGAGAGGAATTGCCCAGAACTCCAACCACAGTCTGTGCCAGGAAGATGATTCCTACAGCCACATCACTGGCTGCCATCCTGCCAGGTCCCTGCACTTGAAACCAGAGGGACCTGCAGGGGAACAGGAGGCCTGGGCTGCACGTATCCCATCAGCAGTGACTTATCATTGCCCACTCTACAGAGTTCCCACTGTGAAAACTTAAATTTCTATTGTCACTAGAAGGTTTTGATGAGGCTCCTATGACTAGTTAAAGCATGAAGTGTGTGTAAATCCCTGCTGTGCAGGCAGCACGTGGTGATTCTTGAAACTTTACACCATGAGCCAGGTGCTGAGATGACTTTGCATGAGGACCAAGAGAATTTGGCCACATGGAGGTGAAGTCTCTGTCCAAAT